ATACATTGTCATTATAGCTGAGGTTCTTCAATTTAGGCGGCTTATGATGTCGAGTGAAGGTTCTGGCCAGCCAAGGTGATGGATATGTGTGTTAAAGGTCAGGAAGAATAGGCTACTATGAGCTAAGAGCTTCTCCAGCCGAACTGCAGTCGCGTGTATGGAGTGGCTTTTTGCTCCAATGGATCGCCAAAAAATACGCCAATGGCATGCGGATGAACAGTCCGACGCCAATATTGGCGTCCAACTGTTCACCTACGCCAAAAAAATCGCTCTATTTTTTCGCTTCGAGGGAAAGGCGCGAAACAAGAGAGCGCGGGAAAGAACGGGAAAGAAGAGAAATGGAGTTCCATTGGAGATGAATTGCGGCATTTTAAAGTTTTCCGCCATTATAGAGTGAAAAATGGAGTTTTCGGTTGGAGATGCCCTAACGAAAGAAGGCTTTGCTCAACCAAAAATGTGGGAGTTTGAGAACGAGACTTAAGCGCAGTTTCAACAATTTTTTTAAATAAAATTTTAATGAAGCTTTTGCCCATCTAAAATTTAAAATTTTTGAAACTAATTCAATATTTAATTTTGAAAATTTTTTAACAAACATTAATGTATATTTTGCTGAGCCAACCCCAATGGATTGAACAAAGTTCATAATATGCGGCAAGACTCACGATTGAATGAAGATCGTGATTATGGTGAGAAATAGGATCTAGCATGGATCATGTTCATAACAAGATGCCTAATCAAACAGATATTGGATCAAAATTAGGTGCATACAATCAAATAGAGATCATGTTTGTTGTGAGACATGCACAACTAAACATAGATTGTAATCATGGAAAGAAGTACATGCTGAATAGATATTATGATTTTGGCGAGACATGTGATTGAACAAATATTGTGGTCTTAAGGAGACACAAACAATTGAACGGAGATCATGCTTGTTGCATGACATGTGATGCAATATAGATCATGATATTAACAATGAGTGCATGATCAAATATAAATCATGATAATAAATATACATGTTATTAGATGGAGATCACAATCATGGTGAGATGTGAAAAATTGAACAAATATTGTGAGATGAATGGACACGTACATGATTGAACAAAATATCATGATTGTGGCAAGATGTGTGATTGAATCGAGATTGTGATTGTGATTAGACATGAATAAAGATCGTGATTATAGCGAGATGTGTGATGGAATAATGATTGAGATCACAATAAGATGGGGTGTGATCAAACAAAGATTGTTATCGTGGTACGATTCACACAAAATTGAATGAAAAATCATAATTATGGTGAGATGCATAATATACTAGGATTATGATCGTGGTGAGATTCACATAATGTAATAGAGGTCCTGATCACTACAAGATGAGCATGACTGAATGAAGATCATGATGGTGATGATATGCACAATCTAATCAAGATTGTGATTATGGTGAACATGCACAATTGAACAAAGTTTGTGATTATGGCGAGATGCGTATGACTAAACAGAGATCATGAGTGTGAGATCAAGCAGAGACCATGATCATGACTTTTTGAGTTTAATGGAACTCAATAAATTCACTCATCTCAAGGTTAATCAATATGATTGAGGCAAAAGTTATTATTTTCTCCTTATAACAAGTGACTATGCCTAAAAGTAAAGGAGATTTGGGACTCCCCTCTCTCTCAATCCTTAATATCATTCATAAAACTAAGACTATTTGTAACTGTATCTATATTAATTACCTTCTTTGATCATAGTTAAATGCTTTGTATAATTTTATTTAGACATCATCGATGGAGATTAGTCTATTTTTATTAGTTATTTAAACAAAAGCAATATGTCTTAGATGCAGATGCAATTAAATTAATAATATAAATAATAATTAATAAAAATGTATATTATAATTTTAACTAAATCAATTACTAGGAATTTAAAAGGCTTAGTTAAACATTCTTGCAATGAAGCTTTTCATAGAGAAAATTTTGGTTAGTATATTTTGATCATAATTTTAAAATTTTATAATTGAGTTTTCAAAATGTTGAATAAAAAATTAAATCTAACAATGTCGGCTCCATAGTTCTCAAAATGCTTATTTTAAAATATTTAAATATAAAGTTTATTCGAAACATATATATTTAAGGGAAAAAATATGTTTTGCACCCTATTCTATTAATGGACAATGGCAATGGCCTTTTGTTTTCAGTCACAAATAAGAAGAAGGTGCATTTGAATACTAAACACAAATGCTTAATTTATTCATGCTATTTTTGGTCACGTCTACTTGGGAGCTAGGCTATATATATATCTAACAAAGATTGCATAATGCATTCAAGCTCCTTTCCCACTCTATTTTCCACAACATACATAATAAAATTATCGCATGGTCCAATCTCCCAATAGATCTCCCTTGCATCTCATCGGACTTGCTTATTGTAGACTACCTTCGATTATCTGCTATCTACACCTCGTGGAATTATGCTCTTTCCAATGATGCACCCATTGGAATTCAATTTCATCCCTCCCCATGGCTCTTCCTTACCAATGAAGACACAGAGGCCTCCAATACACTCACCTTCCACAATTTTATAATCAAAGAAGAAAAAGCTGTCATTGGTTCCCATCGTCACTTCTCCTCCCTTGATAGTAACATCTATGGTCCCAGCTATTTTGGCTCCAAGGTGGGTGGCTCATGATGCTTGATAAGGATCTGTAGCCTCGCCTCTTAAACCCTCTCACAAAGGCCGAAATATTGCTCCCATCCCTTTTCACCATTTCCAAAGATCAAGGGCATAAGATAGAACCCAGTATGGCCCCGACGGCTCAATCAGATTTTTTTGGTAATGAAATTTACTTGTACTTTAGCATAGACAAGGAAGGCTTATGTGATATATATTTTCAGAAGATCATTGTCTTTTCTAATAATTTATTTGGAATTGCTATTGCTATCTATGGGCGTACAAAATATTTGGTTTTGATAAGGTCAGGAGATCAAACATGCGTTCTCAGTTTGCAATTGCCTCTTTACGCCTTGTAGCACATGGAACAATTTGAGGATGTTTACTATCATGTAAAAGATAAAAGGCTTTACACAATCACATATTTCTTAATGGTCTTGGCTTTTGACCTCAACAAATAAAATGTTGAATTGATCTACCCGTCAGTGGAGGACCCATACTTGCACACCAAAACTTTGATTACATGTACTATATTGCTTTTTTTTAGCACTTCTAAAAATAAAGATGGTTATCGATACTACTAAAAGGAAGATAGATAATAGTTGGAAAGCAAATACAATATGCATCTTTGTTTCCAAATATGTATCGCCTATTGTCGCTTCTTGTTCTTCCTCTCATTAGATCTCCGTCAAGGATCTAAGAGTTGCTCTTTATTTGTGGGTTGTAATCAGACATTTTTCTTGCATCACATTGTTGCTCCTGGAGTCAGACCAAATTGTATATACTTTGACAATCATTTGAGCAACATGTTGCCATAATACGTTGATTGGGATGCAAGGTCTTTTGATCTTCAAAGTGAATAATTTCAATTTTCCTTGACTCGGATTCACAACCTAATTGACCCCTTCAATCTGGTTTAAATCATCACTTTCATGAATTGTATATCTTAATCTTTGTTAAGCATGTTTTGAATATTTTTAAATTATAAATCTATTTTAATATTATGGTGTTGGGCTAAGGAGAATCACCAACCTAAGGTCGAACGATCCCATATACGGAAAACATAAGGTGTTATTTTAGCATGCATTTTTTATATTTTTATGCTTCAAGAATCTTTGTAATTGTATATGATGGCCTCAAACAAATGCATAATATAAACATATAAAATGGATCACATGCTGTTGAAAACTTTAAAAATTAGTGAACAAAAAGCAATCAAAATAATTTCATAGGCTCTTAAAGTCATGAATTTAAAATATTTGATTGATGAAGAATTTGATCCAAATATTTTAATTTTAATATCATAAGGACCAATAAGCATAATGACATCATTCCAAAAAAGGAACCCAAACTCGAGCCAAATTAGCAACAAACATGTTAGTAATAAAGCCACCATCATCAAACTCCAAACCAAAAATTGAGCACACCATTACCAATCTCCAACAACAACCAAAAACTGAAAAGGAAACAATTTTGTTAATTTAATATTTTATCTATCAATTAATTTGCCTTATTTTTTATTTCATTATTCTTCCTATCAATTTCATTATGATAATGTATCATTTGAGGAAACAAAATATGCAGTGGGTATAAGTGAATTTCAGGTACATGATAACTTTTTTTTATTATATGAACTAAATTGATCAATATTTTTATTAATTTATAATATCATTAATAACAAACTATTTCCAATCTAATGAAAGAGCCATTAAGACACAAAATTCATTTAGTAAAAAGAAATAATATAACTATTATAAATAAATATATTTCTTTACAATAACACATCTACGATATATGTTCTCTCATCTTTCACTCATTTATATAATTAAGAATAATCATTTTGAGACCTCTCAAAATGATGTTAGATTTTGACACAAATAGTCTCACTTGATCCAATATAAGGCATATGCAATAAAAGATAAATTTTTATATAAAAATAAAAATAAAGTTTTAATTAAAAAAATTTAAAATTCAAGACAAATTTGATTTAATTTAAAGTAAATCAAACAAAGTCAGCTCGATAGTTCTCAAAATGCTTATTTTAAAAGTTTTAAATTTAAATTTTGCCAAAAACCTATTTATAGAATGAATTTGATTATGCACCCTATTCTACTTATGAATAATGACAATTAGCCAATTTCTTTGCTCACAAATGAAAAGAAAATTAATGCACTTAATATTTGCCACAAATGCTTACTCAATTTCCCCTATTTATATCTTGAAAAAAATTGCACATTTGATTCCAACTTTATTTATTTTTGTTTGAGCCTCTTAGTGCTGAAAGGCACCACGCTCCTTTCATCCATTGGCCATCGTAAATACAATAATATTATGGCATGGTCTGATCTCCCCATAGATATCCTCCGTTGCATCTCATCGTACTTATCCATTGTAGATTTAGTACGACTATCTGTTGTCTGCACCTTGTGGAATTTAACGCTTACCAATTATGCACTCCTTAGATTTCAATGTCGTCCCTCTCCATGGCTACTCCTTCCCAACGATGTCGGAGAAGCTTCTGACACACTCACCTTCTACGACGTTACCATCGAAGAAGAAGAAGAAGTCAGTGTTGGCTACCAACGTCGCTTCTCCTCCCTCAGTAGCCACATCTATGGTCGTCGCTGCTTTGGCTCCAAAGATGGATGGCTCGTGACCCTTGACAAAATAGATCTGCAGCCTCAACTCTTCAACCCTCTCACAAAGGCTGAATTATTACTCCCATCCCTTTTCACCATCCCCAAAGATCATGGGCATATAATTGAGCCCAAATATGCCCCTGATGGCTCCATCAGGTTTTTTTGTAATGAAACTTCCTTATACTTTACCGTGGGTGAAGAAGGCTTACGTGATATATATTTTCATAAAATCATTGTCTCCTCTAATGACTTGTTCAGAACTACTGTTGTTATTTATGGCTTTACAAAAGCGTTGGCTTTGGCAAGGCCAGGAGATCAAACTTGGGTTATTGGCCCACAATTAGCTCCTTACACCTTGAAGCACAATGAACAGTTTGAAGATGTTTACTATCATGATGAAGATCAAAGGTTTTATGCAATCACACATTTTTCTATGGTTGTGGCTTTTGATCTCAATGGACAAAATGTTGAATTAATATGCCCGACGATGCAAAACCCATGCTGGCGCAACAGACACTTTGATTACATGTACTATATTGTCTTTTTGTCAGGAAGTCTTCTAAAAATAGAGAGGGCGATAAAAATTTATGAGGAGATCAATCGAACCAATAAAGTGAAGACGACAGGTTTCATTATTTCCAAGTCTGTGCCAGTTGTTGTCGGTTCTTCTTATTCTTACCCTCAATGGGTCCCAATCAAGGACCTAGGGGGTTACTCTCTATTTGTGGGTTGTAATCAGACTTTTTACTTGCATCACAAGGTTGCTCCTGGTATTAGACCAAATTGTATATACTTTGCTGACCATTTGAGCAACATGTTGCCAGAAAATGTTAGTCAGGATGTTGGGCTTTTTGAACTTCGCAATGGGCAGTTTGAGTATTTTTTTGACTCAGATTCACCGTCTAATTGGCCCCCTTCAATTTGGTTTATACCAACGCTTTCAATTTCATAAATTGAAAATCTTATTATTAAGCATGTAATATGAATATTTTTGAATTATAAATATATTTTAAATATCTATTAGACATTTTTAATGTAATATTTAGTAGCATTTTTAATTTAAATATTTATTTTACTCTTTTAGGTTTTGATTTGAAGAAAAGATTTTATTCATGCTAGATCATTGTTAAGTCTTTTTGTGAAATCTTGTTAGCCAATGGAATTGGCTTTAATTTTTAAATTATGAATGATTTGAGTAGACAATTTTACAAAAACTACCCCACAACATATAGTTTACGAAGATTAGTTGTGTGCTTAAGGCTTTGTTTGACATGCTTTTTTTATTGCTTTCAAAAGCAGCTTTCTAGTACAAAAATTCAACAAAAACAATGACAAAAAAATGTCACAAACAAAGCCTAAATATGCTATGACATAAAAAGAAACTGCATGGAGTAAGGAAAATGAAGTTTATATAAAAAAAAAACCGAGAGAAATTGCTCCTAAAAGCATGAAAACTTTAATATCCTTATGTCAAAAAAATAGATAAAATTTTTATTTAAAATCAAGATTTTTATTTAGTCTGTGTCTCGTAGCACGCCTCATCGGCGGGTAAGTTCTCTATCCTTCAGAGACTATATATAAATCCTACCTATTCACGTCACATGGATGACACCACCTCCATCATTCTCTCTTATATGCTCCCAGTGCATTGTTTTCTTTTTCTCCAGTTTCTTTTCACTACTTTAGTCCCTCCAAATGTTGATGTCAACCGTGTATGTTTGACTAAGCCAAATTAGACCTTTTCATTCCGTTTGAGTAGAGACTTCCTAGACTTCTTCATATGTGCCAATCCCATCTGAGAGAATGATGTAGGATCCTTAATCGAGAGTCTTCTTAGGCCCCGACTTAAGATATAATTAACCACGGGGACTTGCGCCCGTGGAAAACCGAATCCCACATCAAATAAACTCTACTCGAGCTGATGTGTTGGGTGGGGGAAACTTCATTTCTCTGATCATGTCAAGCATATTCTTACTCATCAAGGTGTGTAGGCGACAACTGCTATCCTCAATGGTTAATCGCATGTATGATCTATCTGCCCTTCCATTAGCCCGCTTGCGAATAGCGCAAAGGCCTACGACCATCTCATCCTACAGAAAGGTGCGGTCGTAGCCTCTACACTTTGTCCCCCGCCGAGCGGTGTCCTTTCGGAGATTCACAGGAACAAGGACAATGCACCATGAAATCTAACCCATTGTAGGTTTAGAAAATGAAGATTTAAAGTCCATGAAAGTCACATGGGTAGACCAAATCTATAGAGGAAGGATACCAACTTGGGTTATGCCTTACATGCCTAGATTTAGCTCAATCAAGCTGTACAAACAAGTTATGTTTTATTGCATTAAAATTAGGTAGGAATACAATAACTTGAATGAAGTGCTACTTAACAGGCCAAAATCACATTTTTTCTCTCCCCTCTCGTCATGGCCATCCTGTATTAGAATAATAACAATTAACTATTTAGAACGAACTTTTATTATATCCAGTGAACGCACGCAGATGAACGTTCGGTTTTAGGCAAAAAAGTGCCTGTACCGAGTTTTTTGAAAGAGTTTTTTGAAAAAACTCGGTACACCTCGGTACTCGGTACTCGGTACACCTCGGTACTCGGTACAGGCACTTTTTTTGCCTAAAACCGAACGTTCCTCTGCGTACGTTCACTGGATAAAATAAAAGTTCATTTACAACAGCATGATTGACCAACTTATCTACAAATAATACATTATTATAATTTAATTAATAAATATTAAGCTGGCGGTTAGAAAGAAACCAAAGGTGAAAACATAAGAAACGTAATTCGATACTTAAATTTATATTTTAAGTATGCATTTTTATTCTGCCTTTTAAGTCTATAAATATTTTTTTTATTAAAAGTTTATTACAATATAATTTAATTTCTGAATTCCTCCTATACCCTGCTCTTTCTCTCACAAGAGATGGCCAAAGTCATTACTTTTCTTTTGAAGCCTTAATTTCTTTTGAACCTTTTTTTTTATTTTTTATTTTCTTGTCTTATTTTATGCATAAGAACTAAAGCTTTTATTTTGGTTATACAATGTTGTACATGTTTTTCATTAATAATAAAATTATATTTTCAATGGATATCCTCATCAAAGGAGTATAACTTTTATTTGAGTCCAAAACTCAGTAATAGAAATTTGTTCAAAAATATCACATTTATAATTCAACATTAAGAAATATAAATATTTACAATAACTATTAAAATTTCATAATTAAAATGAGAAAAATAAACATTAAAAACATCAAAACTTTTAAAATAGCTTAAAATTAATTTTTGGCACGATAAAACCTCAAAACTTTGATCATTTTTACAAAAATATAAAAAAAATCACCACTTTTTTAAATAAATAGAGATTTGATCACAATTTCGATGTTTCTTCAAGCAAGAAATTAATTTACAACTATTTTAAAAGTTTTGATGTTTTAATGTTTAATTTTATTATTTCAATTATGAAATTTTAATATTTATTTGAAAAATCTATATTTTTTAATGTTGAATTGTAAATATAACATTTTTTAATAAGTTTATATTACTGAACTATATGCTCAAATTTTATTAGAGGAGGATATCTAATAAAAATAAAATTTTATTATTAATGAAAAACACATACAATATTGTACAACAAAAATAAAGGCCTTAATTCTTATGTATAAAATAAAATAAAAAAAAGTTCAAAGAGACTAAGGCTTAATTTGTGACGATTTTCTTCCTGTTTTTTAAAATAATTTTTTAGTACTAAAAGTAAAAATTTTGTAGTTAAAAGTTGCTTTTAGAAGCAATAAAAAAGCTGTGGAAAATAAAGCTTAAGGCTTCATTTAAGGTGGCTTTCTCAATGATTTCTAAAGTAGCCTTCTAATATGAAAATTTATAATCAAAAAAATTTTGTACTAAAAGTTCATTTAGGAAGCAATAAAAAAACAGTCTCAAACCACGCCTAAAAGAATAACAAAATAATAACTCAATTGTGACTTAGTGTTATAATCTTGTACTACTCACATTGTCCATTGAAACTTTCTCGCAAAACAATTTCCACATTGATGACAGTAAAATTTATACTACTTTTTACGTGTTTTATAATGACCATTCATATCTCTTAAATTTTATGACCTCTTAATCCTGTCAAACTCTCATTTTTTATCAGAAATATATTTTAAGAAAACATAATTAAACCATCCTAAAAGAAGTCATAATATGCCCCATGCATCCACTAGATGAACCTGATGTGCCTCAGATGTAGACATTGCTAATGAGATCCAAAGACTAGGCTTCTTCAGGTTCAGTACATCATCTTCATAGGTTTGCTTATCTAAACTCTGCTCTCAGACGGAGAAATGTCTAAAATAAGGATATAATTATAAAAAATATATATGCGATCCCAAACATTCTCTTATTTACTTTTTTAGAAAGATTATATTTCTATGCTATTTTATTCCAATTTTTTTTATTTTTAAAGTTATGAATGAAAAAATCTTTTATTTCTAAGAGCATAATTTAATTCCAGGTATATGCACATACAAGAAAGAGACTTACAAAAAAAACAGACAATTTCTACTACATAATCAATGCCAATAAGCAATCAAACTAACCACAAAATAAGTAATATAATGTCCAAAGTCAATGTGGCATAATACTTTTAATATGCAAACCAAGCTCTGTTGAAAGTAAAGGTGGTCATGCTTCACCGACAGCAACATGGATTCTAATCCTATGTAAGGATGTAAGTCTTAAAATGAGACATTGTATTTTAGTCTATATCACTTATTCTTCTGTTGGTTTCTTTTCTTCAAGCTTCTTGTGATTCATTCAGTAGAATATCTGAATGAAAAGAACATTTCTATAAATAATTTTCTTTTCTTTTTGGATCCCTAATACTTTTATTAAAATGTTTCATTTAAAAAGTTCAATAATTCTTTAGAATGAATTACATTTTTGAAAAATGAAAAAGACTCTATACTCCTTGCAAGTTAATAAGCAATTTATATAAAAATTACAATCATAAATCACATCTTAATCAATTATTTGAACATTGTTTTAAAACTTGTAAACTTAACCATGCTTTTATTAATTAAGGGAGCTGAGCAGTAATATGCTTATTTATTAATTGCAATTTTCTATTAAGTGAAGTTGATGTGTTAAAAGTCAAGAGAATCTTAGTGCTTTTGTGTTTTACAATTTATTTTAGGATAGATTTTATTTATTGAAATTAATGATTTATTATTTAATCAACGATTGGATGTTAAATTAGTGATTAGTTTAAATATCAAAGCATTTTTTTTATCATTGATTGTTAATTTGCAAGATTTATAATTTAATATTTACATTCCAACAACTTATTCGTTATGTTATCACAAAGTACAAGAGGGCAAAAGAGGCAACCCAACGTGGTCCAGCCTAAAAACCTTCATTGAGAGGGTTACAATTGCATTATTTATATTTCATTGTTATTATTATTATTATTATTGTTGCGTCCTGAAAAATTCGCGGCGGTAGAGAAATATTAAATTTAATTTCATAGCTTTATACGAAGATCCAGCAGACAAGCAAAAAAAAGAGAGGATGTAGCGTTCATAAGAGACACCAGAGTTTTTACGTGAAAACCCCTAAAAAGGGGGAAAAATCACGGGGCTTGGCCCAATTTGAATGAATCCACTAGTATTTGCAGTCGATTACAAATGAGGCCCTTCCTTAGGAGGAAGGCCTTGGATCAAAGTAGCAAATATACATCATATAGAGTGTCTTGTATAGTAGAAGTTGGAAGAATAAATGTTGATATGTTTGCGTCGGCGTCAAGACCATAGTCGGCGAGCGAAGTAGATCAGAAGAAAGAACCATATTCGGCGGATGAAGGGGGTCGGAAGAATCATAGTCGGCGAGCGAGCAGATGTCAAAAGGACCGTTGTATGGCGATGGAGGTCGGTAGGATCGTAGTT